CTTCCGGTCTTCTTTACTTGTATCTTTTTAGTATCATAGTAGTTTAGCTTATTCTATTCACTTTATGGAATCGCTTGAATTGATAAGTCGTAATAGTTTAATTTAAGAAATAGTTAACCACAAGTTCTTTTGGGTATGATACTTTATTAACTAGCTCCGTTTAAAAAAAAGGAATGATCTAGTTTGACTTGACATAGAATGTATAAAAATGTCACGCCCCAAACTCGAGGGGCTCAACAGCCTCCTAATGCCAAAACTCAGGCCCGAGTCAACCCTGCTGAACCATTAGCTACTAGCACATGGCAGCCACACGCAATCAAGAAAACAAACAAGAATATCTCGACTTAAAAATAAGCCATCGGCCAGCAAGGCCCCTGTCAACTGATTTATAAAAGAAACAGCTACTCCGAGGAGATCATATAAATAAATAGCCGACTAGCACAGAAGTCCTGATTGGGCCGTCGAGGCCACCATAATATCTATACCAAAACTAAAAGTAGGTATATATCAATGCAATACATCAAACAACTCACAAGCTTCAGCAAACCAACAACATAGGCCAATATGGCCATAACATAGCTATACACCCCACACACTAGTCTGCAAGCCTCTAAGAGTAGTAAAGATTAGCACGACAGCGCCCCAGCCTATACATAAAGATATATACAACAGAAGGTAACAAACCTCCCAACTCTAGCAGCTCCATAGGAAAGGGGCTAGCCAACCGGATAAAAGTCAATTCTGCTGCTGAGGAGGTCTACTCGATCGTCTGTCAGGACCTGCATGCATGAATGCAGTGCCTCCAGGCAATGGGGTGTCCGTACGAAATAATGTACAGAGTATGAAAGGCAATAGACTATGAGAAGGTATCCTGATATACTGGAATAATCTAATAAATAAATCAAGGATAAGATAACTGTACTGACCTGCTCCTAAATCTAAACTTATAAAAAATAATAAAACAACAACCTAACCAAGCCCCCAAAGCTCAGCAGGTACAAACAGCACACAAGACCAACTACTCAGGCCCCCATAAGCCCAGAAGGTGCCAATCAGCCTATATACCTCTATCGGTAGTCCCCTAGCCCCGTAGGCAGTCACATAGCCCTCTTAGGCATTAATATAGCCCCTTAGGCAGCACATAGCTCTCTTAGGCATCAACATAACTTATAGATAACTCATAGCCCTCTTGGAAAACAACACGGCCCTGTAGGAAGCACATAGCCTTCTTCGGCGTCAATATAGCCCTGTAGGCAACTCATAGCCCTCCTAGGCATCAATATAGCCTCGTAGGCAACTCATAGCCCTTTTAGGCATCCATATTGCCATGTAGGCAGAACATAGCCCTTCTAGGCATAGATCACATTCCTCCAGCTAACCACAATAGCCCCAAGGGGAACAATAACAATCCAATCGCTAAAAGCGAGAAATTTATTTATAAGCAACCTATACAAATAACCTCTAAGTCGTGTCCAACATAGGGACGCTACTAACTGAATAAGAATCCCGACAAGGGAGGATTATATCAACTCGAGCAGCCAACAATCAACAAAATGGCTACAAGTGTAACAAGGATAACAGCCCAATTACATTGCTCTTATGCTTTAAGGAAGCATGTCGTAAGTAGGGAATAGCCTTAACATACCTTTCCAATGAACGCTCGAAAGACCGTAGTTCCTTCACGAAAGTTGTTCCTTATGTCCTAAGCTTCACAAATCGCTATATATACACAGCTGAAATGCACCTATAAACAGTTCATAATTAATCCTTAAATCAACAGATTTGCCATATTGCCCCAAAGTTGTCGAAACGTCCGTAGAAATTCATAAAAACAACCATAAAAGGGTCTCGAGATGATTACCTTAGTTAACCAAGTATAAACCTTGAAGAAACACCAATAACTACAAATTTATATCTTCAAAAACTAGCTCTAAACGCAGCTAATAGGAGGGAAAAATGATTGCCACGTGTAGAGAAGGCACGGGGGCAACCTTTAATGGTAGAAATCGTCAAAAACTAACCTTCATCATGCAAGAACTCCACAGGAGCCATCTCTTATGCTTTCTTTCCGGCTTGGAAGTGAAAAGAAATGTTTTCATGGCTAAAAACGTTGAGTAAGCCGACATACCACATTTTTTACCCGACCCGAATTCTGCCCCAGTAGTCCGTAGTAAAACCCTCATAACGTTTTACTCTGATGTCGGTTGGATACGGAGTTTTGTGCGTTGCAAACTAGACTTGTAGGCCTTCAATTTTAATGGATGATAGGCCTTCTAACTCTTTATATATTGGGAGAAAACATCCAAGACATTTGGCCCAAATTTTTAGAGAAATCTTTTAAAAAGGAACTTACGATAACTTTCACCAACTTTTATTTTGCCACTTGCCTAACTGAAAAACTTGAGATACAACCCTTGAACACTTAAAATATGACATACCACATTATTCTTAATGTATTACTCACCCTCCTTGCCTTTCCACGAAGATACGAGTTAATTTAGACGTTTTGAAATGTCGGGGTGTTACATCCTTCCCCCCTTAGAAACATTCATCCTCGAATGAAAAAAAAATCTGAGTCACGCCGTTAAGTCTTTAGGTGTTTCCAAAATTTAGGCAGAGTATCCTTTGGCATTGTCACTATCCAGGAACCTAAATGCAAAGAGTCTAACCTGCGCGTCTCACATGATGACATAAATTGCTAAGCACTATAGCTCTGCAATAACAGTGCGAGCAAATATACAACGACAACAACAATAATAATAAGAAATAATATAAAAAATCAGATAGGTATCTTACCTCACTGCACCAATATAAAAAATCAGATAGGTATCTTACCTCACTGCACCAGTATAAACTGATATGCCATCACCCTAGGGTATGAAACAAGTGAGGATATTTGGACCTCATGCCATCCTCAGCTTCCCAAGTCACCTCTTCTCTATTCTTGTTTCTCCACAATACTTTAACCGAAGCCACCTCCTTGGTCCTCAATTTATGGACCTGCCGATCTAATATGGCAACTGGAGTTTCCTCGTAGGACAACTCTCTGTGATCTGAACAGCCTCAACTAGGACAACTCAAGAAGGGTCTCATACGTACTTCTGTAGCATAGATATATGGAAAACTGGATGAACAGATTCTAGCCCCGAAGGCAATTCTAACTCATAAGCCACTCGTCCTACCCTCCGAAGAATCGGGTATGGCCCATTGAATCTTGGACTAAGCTTTCCTTTTTTGCCAAATCTCATAACACCCTTCATAGGCGAAACTTT